TCCCCCCCCCCCCAAGATACACATTTTACACACAAGACACACACATAAACAACACACACAAATCAACACAAACACACGAATAAACAAAAAACACAAACGAATACAAACACACAAAAACACACACCAGCAAAAGAGTAGTTCAAGGTCCCTCCTCTCTCTCTCTTTCTCTCTCTCTCTGTCCTATCAATCGTTCCACAGTGGATAGGTTTCGGGCAATCTTAGCGCTTCGTTCCAGTGCGCTAGAATTGCGTCTCACTGCGTCATCGCAGCCGTTGATGAAAGAAATCTAGGGCCACAAATTGTTAGTACAGTATTTACTTGATTGCTTGCTTGTTTTCCCATTGCAATGGGATGATCCTGTTGGGCACGGTACACGATACTCCTCGCATTCGCCAAGTCCAATCCACGTGCACACCGTATCCCGATGCATTAATCTCGTAGAAAAGGGGGTCATATCAATCATGTCTTACTACGGTATGATCTGCTGCCAATCATTCATAACAATAGCCATGGCAGCATCCCGATGCATTAATCTCGTAAGACATGATTGATGTGACCCCCTTTCCCAGGGTCGTCATCCTGAAAGAGAAGTGCGAATGCGACTCCCAGTCCCAGGCGCTTCGATTAGAATGGTTTTTGTCGTTTCCGGCAGATATGCCACGTGGGATGGATGCATCTAGTGTACTGGTTCAGCCATGTGGCGTGGATTGCATCTACTGTACTGTCCGGCCATGTTCCATCGATGCATCCATCCAGTGTGTGCTGCTCGTCCCGCCACGTGTCACGGATGCACACAGCGTACGTGCCGGACACGACTATCGCGCATCTAACTAAGGGTCAGATCTCACTACCCTGGATTATTCATTTTTGACCGTCGATTACGAAGATCAACGGTCAGAAATGAACAATAGGGGCTGGTAATGGGATCACGATCTGGCTCTAACTCCCTTGGATTTCTCCCGCTGCGATAATTTCGACTGACTGACTTGTGGGCGGGGGGACTTGAACTGCCGTTCTTCATACGAACACACAACGCACCCTCAAGCTGTTTTTCCACCCCCATGCAGTCACGATGAGGGTGCGTTGTGATCGGGGGAAGATGGTGGTAACTCCCAAAAACAAAAAGAAAAAAGCAAAAAGACGGTATAAGGGCATACTCACACTAGGCCCTCAAAATCGCAAAATCCCAAAACTAGCGGCCAGATCTAGTCCTTCCTTTACAAGGACTCAATCTGGCCGCTCATTTTGTGATTTTGCGAGTTTGAGGGCATAGTGTGAGTATGCCGATATAACTCGAACTAAACGCACGGGTGTTGCAGGCTGGGCCGGTTTTGCAGCCCGCCTTTGTGAATGCCCTTAACTTTAAATCGGCAATGTGGAAACATGGCGTCCATGCAATTACATCGGCACGCAGTGTGAAAACATGTCTTCCTTCCCTCCCCCGGCCCCCCCGACCCCCAAGCCAAATGGCTGAGTGGTACCACCCATATATGCTTGTTGATACAACGATCACCAGTTCGAGTCTTGCTGGATACGATGAAAATGTGGGCTGCGTTTCCTTTTAGAAAGACCAC